GTGGAGGTGGTGGAGGTGGAGGTGGTGGAGGAGGTGGAGGTGGAGGAGGTGGAGGTGAGAGTGGTCCTGTCTCATGTCCCCTTTCCCTCCCGTGCCAGGAGTTCCTGCTGAAGATCTTCTGTGTGTTCCGGAACCTCATGAAGATGAGTGTCTTCCCTCGGGACTGGATGGTGATGAGACTGCTCACGAGCAAGTGAGTGTGGAAGGCCAGTGTGTGCAAGTGAGTGTGGAAGGCAGTGCGCCTCCAGCCACAGAGCTCTGCTCAGACCAGGGGAGTGTGTGGAAGAGAGAAAGCAGAAGCCCAAGGCCATGGGTTCAGAGAAGGTGGGGTCATTGTCGAAAACGTGCGGATTAGGCTTGACCGGTGGCCGGAGGCCCAAGGAGAGAAAAGCTTTAAAGAGAATTCAGAAAGTGAGCTTGTCAGATTGTGCTATTCATACGAAGGATAGAAGTGGAAGCACCTATGGATGTCAAATATGCCCAAAGTTGCTGGCCTCCCTGAGGGGGCTCGCTTCCCAAGCCCCTGTGGTGTGACCTGTGTGACCCTGAGACAGCACTCCTGCCGCCCTCCCTGCCATTCCCCACCTGAGACCCTCCCTCCAGTTCCAACCTCTTCTGACTCCGGCCACAGGACTCACTGACCCCGACCTGCCCCCCCATTCATATTCCCAACGTGTGCTTCCTCTTGGAAAACGGAACAAGGGGGACAGATGGTGGGGGCTGACCCACCTGGTCCCCCTCCACTCAGAAGGCGTCTAGTCGGATGCCCCCTGAACAACCCTGCAAAGGGCAATCGGCAACAAGGGCCGGAAGCCCCGGGGGGCCAAGAACAAAAGGGCCCTTCCCCCGGGGAAAATGGAAAAGCCGCCCCAAAACCCCCCAAGCTGCAAACATCGAGAAAGGAAAGAACAGACCAGGAAAAAAAGTGCTTATACACAAAGCCATAGAGATGTTTCCTCAAATAATGCATTCTCCACTTGGGTCCCTCTCGTTTCTGTCCCCTAACTGCACAGAGAACGCAAGTTTATCCTGCGAGAGCAGAGGTTTTCACTTTCCCCACCTCCACCTTTATTACCCCTGCTGGCGAGCTAATCACCCTCCGTGCTGACCTAACCCGTAACCCTCTGTGGCCAGCCAGGCTCTCCACCGTCACGTGCTCCCCTGCCTGTCCCAGTTCACCCCCACGCCACCCTCGCCCACTCCCTGGCCTCCGGTCGCTCTGTGGGCCAGGGTGACAGTCCGACCAGGGACCTGCACGCTGCAGCTCACGATCCACATGCGGCTTTTTCGTCACGTACACGTGGCTCTGACATGAAATTGAACAATTTTAAAGGATATTGCGCAGATGATGATTTCATTTGCTTGTGAAAATACGTATATGACTCTCAAATACTTGTTAAATAGTCATGAGGGACAAAATTGGCTGTTCCATCTCAAAAGTTGGCCGACCCTTGGTCTAGACCAAAGGCCGAAGTCAGGTCACTTGCTGGTGAAAGTAAAGGCTCGCCAAAATAAGAGTCTTTGCCCTGGCGTCGTAATGGGTTACGAGCTGGCTCACTAACTGGAAGGGCAGCAGTTTGAACCCACTAGCCACCTTGCAGGAGAAAGCTGAACCTCTGCCCTAAAGCTGTCCAGCCTCACCGCCGGGAGAGCAGTTGTGCTCCGCCCTACAGGTCACCAGCAGTCAGAGGGGCCCCTGGCACCGGGCTTCCTGCCGTCGTATTAGCACATAAACGGTACCATTCGGAGCTAAGCTCTCCATGGCAAAGTAGACAATCCCTCCTGGAACTGGAAGCCACCTTCCGGAACTACCAGACGCTGCCGCCTCGCTGGGTTTCCAGTAGGGATGGAAAGAATCAGGAACAAGTAGTGGCGGGGATGCATCACGAAGGTCTTGGAATCGTGCGTATAAAAACGGATGAAATAGTGAGTGGTGTGTGCGTGTGCATACACATGTACGTACATGTGCGTGCTGCTTGTCTTTTCATCTGATTTTCCATGCACTTTTTGACAGCCCCTTGAGCGTTCCGAAACCAGTGAACTGTGCAGCCTGAACAGGCGAACTGCTGGCATGTGAATTACATCTCAGTACGCCTCTGAAACTAGCACTTAGATTTCACCATAATGCACTTACTGGAAGCACTCCTTTGACAGGCAGGGAAACAGGCCCAGGGAGCCTCTGGGACCCTCTGCTGCACCCCCATCGGGCCGTTTCTCAGACGGCTAGTCTGCAGGGCTTGTGCCTTCGAGCTCATGTCTTAGAGGAAGCGAAGTATACTTGTGCAGCTGGCGCACAGGCCCGGGACAGCGGTGCCCGCTGCCGGACGCCGCCGTGAGTCTGAACCCTGCCGATGCTCTCTCTCCTCCTCCCGCAGCATCATTGTTACCACGGTGCAGTACCTGTCCTCAGCACTGCACAAGAACTTCACCGAGGCCGACTTCGACTTTAAGGTAGGCATCCCATGCAGGCGTCACCAGCTGGGCGATCACCCTAGTAAACCAAGCACAGTAGACCAGAGCACGTATGTACACGGGTACAGAGCAGAGGTGGAAGCATAGGGGATCCAGGACAGATGACCCCTCAGGACCCATCATGAGACGTAGCCATACCAGGAGGGGAGGGGGAAGGTGGAAAGTGGGCGGAGGGGAGCAAGGGGAAACCAATCACAATGATCGACATATAATCCCCTCCCGGGGGGACGGACAACAGAAAAGTGGGAGAAGGGAGACAGCGGACAGTGTAAGACATGAAAAAAATAATAATCCACAAGTTATCAAGGATTCACGAGGGAGGGTGGGGGAGGAAGGGGGAAAAATGAGCTGATACCAAGGGCTCAAGTAGAAAGAAAATGTTTTGAGCATGATGATGGCAACAGATGTACAAATGTGCTTGACACAATGGATGGATGGATGGATTGTGATAAGAGTTGTACGAGCCCCCAAACGCTGCAAGCCCAGTCATCCTAGTTTTCCTAGTTCGATGCTCCCAATATTATTATAATAAATGCTCTTACTACAAACAAAAAAAAAGAAGAAGAAAGAAAGAAAAGAAAACCAAGCACAGGCTCACAGGCTGTTCTAGTGATAGATTCCCATCGGACCAACCCACTTCTCAGCCCGACAGCGATTGCACATGACCTGGGAGCCCCTGGGCAGGCAGCCCCGAGCGCACTCCCGCAATCAGCATCGCACTGCTGGCTTCTGCAGAATCCCAGTAGAAAAAGCACAGGAAAACTCCTGTGGGAGTGGAGACAAACACATTGATTTTTTAATTCAGGACCTTACGATTGCACAGGAGGACCTACTCTGCACATGTGTATCCATGAGCTCTCCCTGGAAGGGTCACGTTGCCTCTTTCCTCTCTCGCTCGCTCAGGTGTGGAATTCGTACTTCAGCCTCGCGGTTCTGTTCATAAACCAGCCAAGCCTCCAGCTGGAAGCTGTCGCTTCAGCCAAGAGGAAGAAGACCCTGGATAAGTAAGGCAGACGGCCTCCTAGTCACCGCCCTGCCGCGGGCTCCTGGGAGAGGCCGCACATCTCACCGGGAGGGCTCACCACCGGGGCTGAGGGGAGCGGTGCCGTGGAGCGCCAAATGAATTGGCATTTGGGGAAGGATTGGAAACAGTCCTGCAGGATGACCACCCTGGGTTTGCAGCCTTCTAACCTCGGGCCTCGGGCTCTCTTTTCCCAGGTATGGGGACATGCGTGTGATGATGGCTTACGAGCTGTTCAGCATGTGGCAGAATTTGGGTAGGTCTTTCTTCCCTGTTCTGAATTTCTGAGTAGCCCGTAGCCAGATAGGAAGGGACCAGACTGGTAACTTTGCCCCAGGTTTTACGGAGGTCACTCTAGACCCAAGAGAGTTTTAGGTGGGTTTCACATAGCGTCTGAGGTGCAGGGAAGCAGCAGATGTGCACACAGCCCCAGCGAGGAGAGATGGCTGGGGGTTAGCACACACACACACACACACACACACACACACACACACACACACACACCACTCAAGGGGGAGCAAAGAGTGGGGTTCCCACGTTGGAATCTCATGCCTGTGAGCCCCTGTGTGCAGTTTGTGCCTGGGCAGGATGGGGCAGCCTCCGGGGAGAGACCTCGGGGAGACCCAGCTCCTGAGAAAAGACAGACATGCCTGTCTTGGGTCTCTGCCATGTTGGCATCTGATGAGGCCCTGACACCAGTGACCTCCAGGAGCCGGTCAGCGCGCTGTGCCTCTGGGCGAGGTTGGGGTGGGGTTTCTCTTCACAGCAGGGTCTGCAGTTCTCAGAGCAGTGTTTTTGGCAGAATCCCTGAGTTGCCCTCCAGCCCGGGTGGGCCACCCTGTGGTACACTGTGGGCTCTCGGTGGCCCGTGGGTGCCAGCAAAGCTACATTACTGTTCTCGATGAAATGGGCTTTCAGCTGAGCACACAGCTCAGAAGCCCTTGCAGTTCAATGGCAGCATCATGCAGGTCCTTCCCCCCACCCCCCACCCCCACCCGAGGGGCAGCAGGCATGTTGAGGCACCCCTGCTAGCGCTGGGACTCTGCCCCTGGGTGGGGATGCATTCCTCAAGCAGGCTTTCTGGCTTCAGGGCTTTTTTTATTATTATTATTATTATTCCTGGGTCCCCCTGAGCTTTGGGATAGCTTCTAATCCTGAAGTTACCTGTGAGGTTCCCAGGAGCGCAAGGGGCTGGCGACTGCACCAGGTCCCAAGACTACTGAGATATGCAGAATCAGCATCAGGGTTAGCATGGCCTCCTTCCGTACGCTTTCAAGCTGGGAGGAGTTCCTTTTTAACAAAAAAACACCACACTTGCCTGATGGCGCCATCCCCTTCCTTGTTCATGGTCTGGCGCCACCCCCTCCCTCGTCATGGTCTGGTTTGTGGCAGCTGGTGCCCCTTGGGTGTAGCAGCCATCGCACAGGCAAATTCTGTGTCCCCTGGGGGCGACTTACTCGAGCTCACCTTCGCCCGGACAGTTCCCGGACCGTGCTCCTCAGGGAGTCCACGGGAGGCATGAACAGGGAAGACGTCTGGCTAGGAGCCCGAGGAGGCAGGTTCAGGTTCACCCGGTAGCAGGTGGGAGAAGGGTCCAAACGTCAACCACGGGAAATCCTGTGGAACACAGCTCTCTGGTCCACACGGGGTGGCAGGGGTCAGAGTCACTGTGGAGGCAGCTGCTGCCTGCTGAGGCCCTCAGGGCTGACCGTGGCTTCCCAAAGCCTGTGTGATGGCGAGCAGTCAGACCCCGTAGCCGTCACTTCGCTTAGAAAGACCCCGTGAAGGAAGTTGGAAGCCAATCTGAGCAGATGCCAGGCACCACCAGAAACACACTGTCAAGACGAGGGAATGAGGCGAGAGTCCCTGGGAGGCTGTGCAGGAGGCTCCCGAGAGCTCAGGAGCAGCCCTTGGCCTGCATGGGAGCACCCCCATGGATCGCCTCCCCCCTTAGAGTCCTCGAAGCTAAAGGTAGAAATTTGTGTTTCATCTCCTTACTGAGTACTCTCAAGAGTAAGGTGACCAGACGTCTGCTTTTGATGGGACAGTTCTGATTTTGAACAATTTTTCCTGCGTCTGCAGCATTTTTTAAAAAGTCCCAATTTTTGGAAAGAATTTATGACAAGCTAGGGTATACGGTTTTTGGCTGCCATGTGGCTATTTCACCAGGATAGGAGTTTTATCAATGGTGTCCCACGTTACCAATGTTAAAACCTGGTCACCTTATCTAAGAGACCATCTGAAATGATCACCACTTACTCAGAAACCCCGTGCGGTGAAAACTCCAAGCCAAACTCTCTGCTATCAGTGGATCCCAATGCACAGCCACCCTCTAGGGCAGGGAGGGGCTGCCCCTGGGGGGGGGGGTCGAGACAGTAACGTTTTCCGACAGTAGAAAGCGTCCTCTTTTATCTGTTCCTTGCGGTAAGCAGCCCCACCCGTGACCCCTGCCACCAGAGCTCCCAGTCTGCCCAGAGCGAAGAATTCTGCTGCTTGATCTCAGAGGGTTTCCAGGTGCTTGTTCCGGGAGGCCATTCTTTAGAAAAGCAGTTTTGTGCCTGTAAACATTTGCTGTAACTGAGCCCGACCAATCTCATCTGTCGCCTCCAAAAAGCAAACAGAAGGAATATCCAGAAAAGCCAAAAGTGGGGAGCGCCTATTTTGTTCTCAGAAACGTCCAGTGGGATCATAGCATCTCTGTGCATCTCTCGGGAAGGTGCGGAGCAGATAGGAACTAATGCGTTGGGTTTTGTGTTCAGGTGAACATAAGATCCACTTCATTCCCGGGATGATTGGCCCTTTTTTGGGTGTGACGCTGGTCCCACAGCCAGAAGTGCGGAATATCATGATCCCTATCTTTCACGACATGATGGACTGGGAACAGAGGAAAAACGGCAACTTCAAACAGGTGAGATGCTCTCCCCTGGGATACACCCCTTCTGTTCAGGCAGGTGGTCCAGGTGGCCAGTCCACTGCTCCAATGGGAATGAGCCTTGGGGTATGGCTTGGCCACCTTGAATCCTGAGGGTTTTCCACAGCTAGCTGGCCTGAACTGATTTGTGGGTCTTCTTAATGAAATTAAAAGCCAGGAAAGAATAGGAGGAAAAGAATGAGCATCATGCGAAAGCAACGGTGGTCACGTAGAGAGTAACTAGAACCACAGCTTCCCGGCTGCCTGCTCTTCCTCTCCTGAGACTCCCCACGTGTGGTCCAGGTCTTCTAGGGCCGGTGGCCTGGCCAGATGATGCCTCTGGTCTCTGGCAAGCCTCAGATTTCAGGGCAGGTCCAAGAGGTACAAACGCTTGGCTTTGGACTGAGTGGCCTCAGGCTGCCTCTCTGTGCAGCTCCTGTGCCACCTCCAGGGTGGAGAAGGCCCCTGCCTATCAGGGCAGGACATGCCCCAGTCCTGCAGACATCTTTCTGCCATCGTGCACGAGTGCTATGGGAATGCTTGCCTTTTGTCTGACCCTGCCTGCTTCCTTGAACGGTGCTTAGTACCTTAAGCTTTCAAGCTGTAAAAGTGAACCCACATATATTCTAGTCTAGTTTTCTCCCGTGTACCTTTTATTGACAGCACTGTAAGTTCTATTCGACTGCAAGATAAGGGGAGAGGAACCTTTTTCTTGCCACGAGCCATGTGGATATTTATAACATCATTCATGGACCATATAAAATTATCAACTTAAAAATTAGTTTGCTATATGTAGCCAAGCACTGAATTAACTAACCCCTAATACGATGACTTAGAACAGCTTCTCTTACTGAGGTGTGTAATGGTAACTGGTATTGATGATTTCACAAACCTTATATGGCCCCTGAGCTGGACTTTCCCCGTCCCTGGGCTAGATTAATGGTACTATTAGAATTACAGAATGCTTCCTAGAGGTTACTTGGATTATCTCGACAAGCTGATAATGCTGCCTATAATATGGACCAGGGAGATATATAAGCTTTTGATACACAAATGGATTTTTGAGCTCACACTTAATCATAAGCCCTAATCTTAGGACAATTAGTTCTGATGTTGTGGCCCTGTTCAGTACTTGCCCTGATGCAGTGTTCAGTGGAGACATGGGTGCTCGCTATAGCTAAGTACAGTGAGGAAACCAGATAGGCCCAGCTATCAGAAAGCTAGCATCTGGGGTATTGAAGGCTTATCTTAAAGCAAGCAACCATCTAAGTTAGATATCAACTGTGCTAGTCTGGGTAGACTAGAGAAACAAATCCAGAGGCACTCATGTTTATAAGAAAGACTTTTAAATAAAAGAATAACCGTATATTAAGAAACCATCTGAGATCAAGTCCATAAATCCTATATTAGCCTATATGTCCGATACCAACCCATAAATTCCTCTTGAGACTCATGCAGCACACGCAGTGATGCCAAATGCAGGAAGATCACAGGCCAGTTGGGTGGAAACGCGTGTGGATCCAGTGGCAGTGGAAACATGTCAACGCTGGCAGGGGTCTCCATGTGGCTCCTCCAGTACCAGGCTGCCATCAGCGTAGCTCCATGTGTCTTGTTAGCAGGAAGGCACATGCATGTATCTGGCCTCCAGTGAGCTACTGATGGG